AGCCCATGAAGAGGACCAGTGGGATGTTTGGGAGTTGTAGGGGTTGGTCTGTAATGGGCTGAATGCCAGTTTTAGTGACAAGGTTTTACTGTCTGAGTCAGGTGTCATGAGAAACTCTCAGTCAAAGCATTGTTTTGTAGAAAGTTAGCCTGGCAGGTACCAGGACAGCAGTGTAAAGGCCCTGATGATTTAGCAATTTAGGGAAGTTCACTTTCTGTTTGTTTATTCCTGCCTGTGTGTGTGTGTACATGCATCTGATCACATATGAGTAAAGAATATGTATGCACTTAAAGGCCAGAGGTCAACAATGGGAGTTCTCTTCTGTCACTCTCTAGTGAACCTAAGTCTCACTAATTCAGCAAGGTTGCCTGGCCAGTGAGCTCCAGGGAGCCAGCTGTCTCCACATGCCCAACACTGGAGTTAAGCTCCACCACACCTAGCTTTTACATAGTTCTGGGGATCAGAACTCAGGTCCTCAAGCTTGTGGGAGAGCACTTTCCTGAGCAAGCATCTTCCTGGCCCAAATGTGAGGAACTGCTGCCACTGGGTGGAAAACATCTGCACAGTTTACAAAGAGCTTTCTCATACACAGTCCTGTGTCACTTACAGATGTAGATTCATCCTGAGGAATGAGTCACTGGGCAATTTTGTCACTATGTAAATGTCAAGTGCACTTAAACCAACCTGAATGGTGCAAGTTCATCACTCCATGTGGCCTCTTGTGGTAACCTTGAGATGTGAGGCTCCACCAGACTCACAGATCACACTGTCTTCCAGTGTGATAACTTATTAAAAAATAATAAGTAAAAGGAATACACTTTAACATAACAACAAAAAGTATAGTACAATCATAGGCATGGTGGCACTCAAGACACTGAGGCAGGGGAATGGTAAGTTCTAGGCCAGCCTGAATTACACACACACACACACACACACACACACACACACACACACACACACCAGATCAGGAGCAAAGTTATTTATTCTCATTATCACACATTATGTACTACACAGAATTGTCTACACTACTGTTCCGTGAGTGGCAGGGGTAGGCTTGCTTATTCCCAAACAGTAAGTGATGTGCTGTCCTATGACATTTGACATTGTATGTTACTAAGCTGGGAATGTTTCAGCTGCACACTATAATCTGTTTTAATGTGTGTGTGTATGTGTGCCCATGTAGTTTGGGTACATCATGTGCTCGAAGGTGCATCAGAGGCCAAAGGCCATTTGACCACCAGGGGACGGAGTTACAGGCATTTGTGAATCACCTGATATGGGTGCTGGGAACCAAACCAGATCCTCTGGGGGAGAGGCGCAAGCTCTTTCGTGCTGAGCATCTCTCTAGCCCATCTCTACTATCATCTTAAGGGGCCAGCACCATATCTAGCACAAAGCTTCATTACCTTAAATCGCCCCTCACAGCTAAGACACACCCCTTCTCCAGCCACACAGAGGACAGGGACAAAGATCAATACCACATGCCACAAGAGTCTCCAAAAGATTAGGATGGGACATCCCAGCTTCCATCCAGGAGGCCCATACCTGATCTCAAGCTGCTGTCCTCAGGGTCCCAATGGGAATTAGGAATTTCAGAGCAAGTATATAGTTTCCCAGGTTGGCCTGGACTCCGGATCAAAGCCAGACTCCCTGGGACATTCTGTTTAACTCTTAAAAATGTTTAGCATGAGGCATCATTACCACACATCCATAATCCCTACACCTAGGAAACTGAGAGGAGAAGATCACCTCATAAAGCCCATGTCAAAAACGCAAACAGGGACTGGAGAGATGGCAGTGGGGGGGTGGGATGGAGCACTTACTGATCTTGCAAAGGACTCAGGTTTGGTTCCAACATCCACATGAGGGCTCACAGCCCTTCAGTAACCCCAGCCCCAGAGGCTCCAAAGCCCTCTTCTGGCCTCCATAGACACTGGGCTTACATGGTGCTTCTGCATACACACTGAAGGAACGCTCATACATGTAAAAAAAAAAAGTACAAATGTTGAAAAACTCACTCAAAAACCAGGCAGTGGTGGCACATGCCTGTAATCCCAGCACTTGGGAGACAGAAGCAGGTGGTTCGAGGCCAGCCTGGTCTACAGAGCGAGTTCCAGGACAGCCAGGGCTATGCAGGGAAACCCTGTCTCAAAAAAACCAAGTAAAGAAGTAAATCAATTGTAATGCACTGAGCTGTATCCCCCTGCCCCAGGGTTTCTCTGTGTAGACGGTCCACCCACACAGCCTCAGCTTCTCCTTCCGTGAAATCTGAGAAAGCAGCACCAGGGGTGGGGGTGGGGTGGGGGTTGAGGGATCTGCTCTCAGCAAAGGTGCCCTGGTTATGTGGCTGGGTCCATGAGGAAGGAAAAAGCCCCCCCTCCCCCCCGCCGGGGGAAGTTGCCACTTTTAAAGGGTGGCACTGAGTCCCTGAGTTTCTACATTATTTAAAAGGAAAAATAAAGGTATCTAAGATCTCTCCTTCATGGTGCTTCCGTAGGTAGATCCAGTTGAAAGGAATAATAAGGTTAATTGATAAAAAAAAGAGAACGTAAGGACGGTTAATAAAAGATGAACGGGCAGGCCCAGAAGCCACAGCAGTCCCCCTGCACTTGCTGTGTGGACCTCCCCTCCCCAGCACTTGACATTTGAGGCCCTGCATTCTAAAGGAAGCTCATTTACCATTCATAAAGGAAGCTATATAGGAAAAGCTTGTTAACTCTGGGGACAGAGGCTAAACTGCCGGGGCCACTTCATCTGGCACAGTTAGGCTCTAAGTGATATGTCAAATTACCATAAGCAGCCACGGCCCTCTGCTTCCCTCCTGTGAGCCTACCTGCCATGCTCCACAGGCCTGCTTGGCTGCTGCTTGTAATGAATTAAAGATATGTCACGGGTTATCATTAGGATTGCATAATTCCAGCTTCACTCTTGCAAATGAGTTCAGTCTGGGAGCTGGGGAGGTAACTCAGTGAAAGTTTGCCACACAAGCATGAGGCCTGAGTTGGATCTCTGGTACTCAGATAAAGTAAATAAATTATATGTGCATACATATTAAAGCCTGGTATGGTGGCTTTACTTACAATCCCAGGACTGAGGTGGAGAGAGGCAGACCCCAGGAGCCAGTCTAGATTACTCAGCAAGCACCAAACCAATTAAAGACCCTGTCTCAAAAAAAAAAAAAAATGAAGGTGGACAGTGCCCAAGGAGTGATACCCAAGGTAGACCTCTGACCTACACAGACACAGACTTCAACAAAAGCTCTCTACTGGATGCTGGGATCATATATA